ACACACACACATACACACACTCACACATAGACTTTCTCTGTATAGAGCGCTGTACGGCCACTACACATGATGTATTTGCTGAATGACAAAATAATCCGCGATTAAATTTTGAAGACCCTTGAAAGCTAAAGCAATATCAAATTTTCCATTATAAAATTTAAAAAAAACCTGTCAGCCACCCCTCCCCCTCCCCAACCCCTAAAACAAGAAAGCTACGATAATGCTTGGGCTTCCAAAGGATACGACACAGACTAAAATTTCGACGGTTCTTGAAAACATTGTTTGAGCCGTACCCAATCGCGTGTTATGAAATCAAAACATTCTTAGCTCTCTGAACGACCACTATTTATTTTGGTTCCATTTGATCTGATTCTACACCCTTGAATTCTGAGAGGCATATCGAATAGCACAGTTTGAACCTTTCAGCGACCAACTCACGACTAACCGATGACCGAGGAACAAAAGAGGGCTCTGAAAAAGTCAAGGGTTCTTTCTCAGCCACCCCGAGTCCATGCCCCTATCTCTTTCAGTCGTATTTACTCAATTCCCCGCCGCTAAGTGCAAAGAGTATTTGTCTTGGCCCTGCAGCAGCCGACTGTGGGCACAATCAAGATCTACGACAGTCGGAGAGGAACTCTCTTATTGAGTAGTTTAATTTATGACGTGCGACGAGTAGTTTTGCTGCTCCTACTTACAACCTGCACTGCCCTTTGGCGGTCCGGGACGCATTCCTCAAACGTACACAGTTCACGCTATTTTACCAACTGTGTGCTCAAAGATTGTAGCACATGTGTCTTGATAAAGTTGTTACAAAGTCTTGATAAAGTTGTTACAAAGTCTAGATAAAGTTGTTACAAAGTCTTGATAAAGTTGTTACAAAGTCTGGTTTTGTATTTGTGTACAAAACCGCCTACATCTCAAATTATATAAGCACAAGTTCAAATTTTTAATACGGATACAAACAGTGTATGCAAGCCTGTTTCAGTTGCCACGCATTAATTCTCGTGTACCGTTTGTTTCGGCCAACAATAAACAGGAAGAAGAACATACAGTCACAAGAAGAGAACTGCTGGTGCACTCTTGATACGCAGAAAGAAATAGGCAACTGGATTGCTTTGTCCACTGCCAGTAGCAGACTATTTGCCGCGTGGAAATCGTAAGATTTTGTCTAGTGGGGCGTATATCATTAAAACAAAATATTGTCTGGTGTTTCCGGCTGATCTACCCGCGTCTGTGTGGTGTAGCGATAGGCTTATCTGCTGTGACATGGAGAAAATGTTAGTTCGATTCCCTAGTGGGGAATTTACGGGGGGGGGGGGGGGGTAATCGAGTAATCGAGTATCTCAGTCTGTCCGTTTCGATGAACTCAGCCTGGGTCAGCCTCGATAGGCAGAGTCAAAGCAGTCCGTCTCCTAAATAACCTGATTGTGTCGATGCGTATACTATTACATTACTACAAGTATAGTCAACCATAGTATAATGGCTACTTGCCCAACAAAATCACCTGTACAAATGGTTTTTTAAAAAATATCATATTGACATTGTTCAAGACGTCCACCTGTCTAAGATAACCATATCTCCTCGACAAAGGGTGACCGTTTCGGACAATTTAACGAAAACTAAAAAGCTTTCTGAAGAAGTTTATTAATACAATTGAATTAATCTGTTACAAATATTGCAGTGTAGGAAAGAGCTGGGATTGAAGATATCAACACGACCATAAAAAGGAGAATCTGAAGATATTTCAGCCATGTTTTGAGAATGGCAAAGAGCCTCAAGCCCCCCCCCCCCTCTGCTTATTTCAGCCCCACACATCCCTTGCCCTCACTGCAACAGATATTTCTTGGCGAAGATCGGCCTGGTCAGCTATCTCCGCAACCCCCTCTCCCCACCCCTTCCCTAGTGATGTGAAGTCAAGATGTCCTGGTCATCGTCGCCTACGAAGGACGAACATCATCATCAACTGACGGTACAGAGAGAGAGTTGTTTTGCTTTGTTTCAGTAGGCGTTTTACGGCACTAGCACTACAATTAGGTCATGACAGTGCCGAAGATTAGATGTGTTTAAAGAGAATAACATGTGAAGGGTTTTTTTCGTCTTGATGGACGATCCTAAAGCAGTATGCATGATACAGCTTTGCCAGGACGGTAGACAAAGAGGAAGATAGTAATAAACACAAAAAAGAAGGAAAAGTAATAAGGAGAATAGATGAGGGAGAGAGTACGTCAGTATAAGTAATACCCAATGCCCATTGGACGGATCGGTTCTCTAATATGGGGTGCCCAATTGGGGGATCGGGTCTGGTCAGGGTGGTTTGCTAGCCAGATTGAGGCGGCAAAGCGGCTATCGTGGCACAAGCCGATCGCGCCCGACTCATCGACTCAGAAACAAACACGTTTGTTTTCAGGCAACGAGGCGGGCGATCATCTCGATCCGACCAGACCCGATCCCCCAATGGGTACCCCGTATAACACAAACCGACCGCCCGACTCGTGACCTTGAAAAACAAACGCGTTTGTTATTTAAAGTCACCGTCGGCTTCGCTTGGTTTGTGCCACGATGGTCGCTTTTCGCCTTCAATCTGGCTAGCCCCGCCTACTAAACCGAATTAAACCGAACCGATCCGAACCGAACCGATCCGAGCCAAACCGAACCGATCGTTCCAGTGGGCAAATCGCCAAGGAGTATAATAAGTAATGGCGGCTTACCCTCGGAGTATAATAAGTAATGGCGGCTTACCCTCGGAGTATAATAAGTTATGGCGGCTTACCTTTTCCTTGACAATCTCCTTGATGGCCACTGTCTCCCCCGACTGCTGGTGCTGCGCCTTGTAGACCTTGCCGAAGGAGCCCTCACCGATGATCTCGCCGAAGGTGTACTCCGTCTGCACCACCTCGTCCTCCATGCGCGTGTGCTTGATGCTCCGCTCCGCGCTGTTCTTCCGCGGGCCTGCCGCCGCCGCCGCGCGCTGCGAAGTTCCGCCGCTTCCGCCACCGCCGGAAGTGAAGCCTGCTGTTGACGTGTCGGCGGACAGAGCCGAGGGGGCGACCACGCCACTGGACATGGTGGACGCTGAGGTGGAGATGTCCGAGGAGGTGGGGGAGGGGGTGGCGGAGCCAGGAGGGGGTGTAGCCAGGCCGTTGCTAGTGGGCGTGGCTGAAGTGCGGCAGGGTTAAGGGTCACGCTTTGGTCACATCTGTAGAGGTGTAAAAGGAGGTAAACGTCAGAGCTAACTTACTCAACTCTAAAACAACCCAGGAATTTAGTTTAAGAAAGAGAGTTTGACGGTACTTGTAAAACAAATAGGTCGTATTAGTGCCAAAGATTAGGGGTGTTACTACAGAGTAACACACAAAGGAATCATGCACGAGAGATAAGAACTTAATAATAAAGTTAAGGGGCAAAACACATTAGAGCCTCTGCTAACAACACAGTAACTCTGGGATGCCATGGTGATTTTGTACAAGTTTATACCAAGTGGACATTAAGGTTTCTTCACGTTTTCAATTTTCCCAGAGTAGACGACGTTAGACGTCAAGAAACTCAACATCAGAAATGACGGAAGAATTAACAACATGTCTATTCATACCACAAACAAACCGGAATACAGCCTGATTAGCTTCAGACAAAACAATTCACTGTGTCTTGCGTAGGACACTTTTTAAGAGTATAAGGTCAACGCCCAAATCAACGCTTATTTGGTTATTCAAGAGGCGGGATCTCCGAATTGAATATCCGACTCCGGTAGTAACAAGCCAAATGGGTTGAGCGCCTTGGAAATTCCACAAAACGACCAGAGTTACAGCACGCCCCGCCCGGGATTCAAACCAAGGTCACCGCTCAATAGTCCAGCATGACACCGACTGAGCTAACATAGCGAACGAACACGTTTTACTACTTTAGTTTACTTTAAATAAAAGTTTTACGGCACTTGCAACACAATAAGGTCATAAGAGTTTCGAAAGGTAGAGGTGTTACAAGAGAGTAACAAACGCAAAGAAGAAGGAGGAGAGATAAGGACGATTGGTGTTCGATAGGAAATAAGGAGCGAACCATACCTGAGCACCCGCAAACCACCCGCTCAACAACCGTACGGGTGACTAACAGGCCAAACACGACAAGTCAAGGGGTACGTTCTCTGACTCTTAATAATAAAAGGCACGTCGACACGGGTAGCGATCGAGCTGTCGAGAAAGAAAACACAACTTTCGAGTGGCGCACTCCAGCCACTCGCCGGCTAATGTTGTGACGCGCACCGACATGTAAATAGGATTTGGGGTTGTTGGTTTTTTTAACACAAGTACTTATCCCCCCCCCCCCTCCAATCGACATATTTTAGATCAATTAAGAGGCGGGCTTCGACCCTGTCTAGCAGGGCCAACCCGGGCTGAGAGTGATACAATGTCCCAGCAGAAAGACCGAAATACTCGACAAAAACTCTCCCCATACGGGATACGAGCTTGATTTTTCTGTGCGCGCCGGCGAAGCGCCTAACTGCTACACCACAGATGCCGGTGCTAAAGCTGTGAAGCGTACCAGCATGTAAATCGGGAACGTAGCATACAAAGAAATAGACATGTACAGCAAACAGAAATTAATGGTTTTATAGGGTGAGGTGAAAAGCAGGGTGGATTTGAGGAGAAAGGCGGGGGTGTCCGTTAAAACCAATCGTCAATGTGCCAGTGGCACAAAACTAGTCACAACAACATACTGTCGAGTGAGGAAGGATATAAATATGCGTGAGCCATTAACATAAATCGACCCAAGCAGCGTTTTCCCACACACGACCTCCAACAGTTTAGCTGACAAAGTTATAATAGGTCCACAGAAAGTTGAATAATCGCTTCAATTTGACTCATCGTTACGCGGCACTTCTTCTACCTCTCTTTTTTTCCTTTTTTTCCCTGAAGTAGCGAGACACCTGGGATTAAGATATATAAAGAGCACCGGGTCCCCATTTTCGGTCGCAAAGTTCTGCCGCTTGAGTCACAGGTTTGCAAATGTTGCAAATACACAATTAATGAATAAAGAACTACGTGGGAAAAAATGTAACCAATGAGTCATGGCGTCATTGTAGAGAGCCAAAAGCATTCGTCGCGCTGACTGAATACAGTATTTATAAATAAATCTCTGTGATTGCACCCGAAAAAAAAAAGGGTGAAAAGAACCTTGTACTACAAAACGACTATTTCACAAAGTACTCGAACGGACGCCTCACTTGAAGAGAGTGCAGTTTACACACACGGTGCATTCAGGCATATGTCTGTACCCCCCCCCCCCCGGTCGATCACCGCTACCACACTAAAGACCCCACGCGGTAGGAGTCGAAAACCTACTTTCCAGTAGAGCAATTGATGAGTTTTCCGACGTTACAAAAGTAACAGTCTGTGATGCTGAAATGAAGCCACGACTGTCGGGAATGATTTGGGAAATTTTCGAAGATCCCGTTGGGTCTGATGGTTCCCTCAATGCCTGTAGAAGCACTTACAACACTGGAAAGAATCGACTCCTTGCGAAGGACAGTTCTGGGCGTAGCCTATTCAAAGCTGAAAGCTTTGCGGTTATGCATTCGTGCGAAAGCCGTATTGGGATCATCTTCAACCCCGCTACAACAGAGGGATTATAACAAACTAGCATTTATTCGTACATCCCCATCAGTAACGCAAGAAGATGTATTGAAAGAAGGAGCACGCGGTGACTGCAAGCGATAACGTTACGACAAGTTTTCTCTTATGTCTTACTTTTACACTAAGGTGTCCTATAAATCTTCCCAAAAACCCATGGATGCGATGGACGTCAGACCAATTGTTATTTTGATTCCCTCCACACCACGGGACAAACACACAAAGTTCCGGATTGAGCGGGATACAACGCCCCAATAGAAAAACACCTACATGCTCGATAAAAAAAAGTCTTCCCACAGGGGAATGGAACTCAGGTTTTCTGCGTGCGACGGCGAAACGCCTAAACGTTACACCACAGACGCCGATCCATATAAGTCGATTTTGTACAAATAACTTGATAATTTTACGAGAACTTGTCTTTTTCGTTATGTTTTAGAAAGCATTTGACGTCACTTGCAACACAACTAGGTAACATAAGTGCCGAAGATTAGAGGTGTTACAAGAGAGTAACAACAATCACAAAAAGGAGGAAAGATAAGGATAATAATATGTGTTTGATAGGAAAGAAGGGGCAAACCACACGAGAGCACCCGCCAACCACCTACATAGTGTGAACAAAGTATAGGCCTATACTAAAATAATAATTATTCTAACTGGTGTCTGGGACGGAAAGTGTGAAACTAAAAAAGCCTCACTCAACGAGTACCCTGCGAAGAACGCTTTCGCGGGTCAGCAGTGATACCGCGGGCCCCACCAGCTTATATGCACACCATGTCCTTCTGGATAGGTCCCGGAAAGAGACACCGAGTGTGAAAGCCCGTCGGAGCGCCGTTATTCAGCTGTCGCAGGCCTAATGGACTGGGGCAGAGCTCTTCGAAAAGCCATAGAGCCTGACAGAATAAACATGCCACGAACAGAAAGCGATTCACCGGCGAGGCACGAGTATGAGTACAGGGCTTAAATGCATTTGAAAATGTGACTTTCTTTACAAATGGGTACCGCTAAAACTGGTACCGTCAATGACTTCTGAGCCGAGGACGACATACTCCACCCTACCCCACCCCCTATATCTTTCTCCCCCTCT